CAAGGTGAATGAATAAGAACAAGTGATCACTTTGACTTGATGTTTCCTCAAAGTTAAGACAGTGGAAAGCAATATGGAAGGAAATAAGGTTAGAGATGTAGGCAGGAGCCAAGTTAAGGACACCTGGTAGAAGGATGAGGAGATGCTTGAGTTTCATGCCTCGAACCCTGAAACCTGATAAAAGGATTTATTTAAATGTAGATTATTGAATTATTGGCACAATTCCGCCTAGCATCAAAATTTTTCAAACATAGGTTCATAAAGTTAGTCACCTACCATCTGTAGTTAGGCATTTAAACAAGAAGCCTAACACTGATGTCAGGGGGCTCTCTCTCCTATTAACATGAGCAGTTTAGCCCACTGTGCCAACTGCTTTCTTAACACAGCATTAGGAACCTGGGTTACAATCTTAATCTATACTATTATAAAAGGAGATGTGTCCATCGCACCATCTGTCACAGAAAACATTTGAGAATACACTGGAAGCCTTGAGAAGTTTCTAGAAAATGCCAGAATGCATGAGAAATGAGTTGAGGGGAACCCCACTCTGTGGTGGGAGCAGGCGCAGTGACAGGTGGCCCGATGGACCTTCCCTTGGGTTGCCATTGGTGGGGGCTCAAGGCAGGGCTTGCTGCCTCCCCAGCAAGTGGCAAGCAGCGGCAGTGGGGAGCTGGCAGCGGCAGTGGTACAATGCAGACCTGTGCCCACTGGAGCGAGCGGCTCATGGGCTAGGGTCCCACGCTGCTCCAGTGCCCTGGGAGTGGCCTGTCTGGCAGGTGGGGGCTGCGGGAGCAGCAAAGTGTGGCACCTCGTGGTCCATCTAGCAGCTGCTGCTGTGGCACAATGACTACTCCAAGTGGCACATGGGATCTGGGGACAAAAAAAGTGAGAAATGCTGCAAGTGGAGGAACTGGCGGTAAGCCCCCTGCGCGCTGCACTCCACCCATCCCTCCCTCAGTCCTCCAAGCCAGTGCCCTGGGTCTTCCTGCACCTGGCCCTCCCCCACGCCTGTGCCACCCACTCACCTGCCTGGGCCCCCCCGTGCTGCTGCACCCTCCTGTCTCTGCCACCCCCCAGCCTGCTGCACCACAGCCGTGAAGTGGGACTCAACTAGTTGATATAAATCAGCATAATTTTATTGGCTTCACTGAAGTATTGCCAGTTACACCAGCTGAAGATGTGGTCCCGGCATTTTTATAAACATTTAAATCTGAGCAACTGAGTTAACATACCTCAAAGTGTTTTTGTTTTGTTTTAAAATAAGCTTTATCCTGCCCCACCTTGCAGCTCACACTGGCTTCCAGCTTAGTGAGACATTCCATTATTTTTAATGGACCTGCAGCATGTTTGTGATAGGTCCCAAAGGCTATATGAGTCATTTTTTCCTGGACATGTATATTTACAGCAGGATTTCACTTGTCCTAGTCTGCAGATAGCCCCATTGAAATCAACAGGATTGAGTAAAGTGAGTAGGATTTGAGCTGTAAAATGATTAATTCTCCATATTTGATTGTAATTTATAGAATATAAATATTTTACCCCCAAAACCAAACTTTGTTTTGAATATTTCATTTGGTAGAACAGAGAGTGTTAGATAGACCGAGACAACAACAACAAGTCATGGCAGGTTTAGCTTAAAATTCCATTTACCAATGGAAAGTGTCAATGTCCAAATTAGAATCAGGAAAACATTGCTTTGATCTCTCTTTATGGCTAGTTTAGGTCCTAATCCTGTTGTCCTTAACACTCTTTGGCATCAAAGAGTAAAATTTGAGGGTGTTAGTCTCCCCTTCACAAAGAAGAGAATAAAATCCGCTTCAACTCAATCTAATTTCAACACGTGAAGTTTCTTACTTGTTGCACTGCCGGGAACATGTTTTGGTCCCCCGGGAATGAAGCCGAGGGCTCCATCCTATTAATCCATAGGGCCCCAAGAACCACAAAAATCTTCAAAGAATCCTCATCCACTCAATGTACAGCATCAGTCAAAAAACCCAACAGAATATTGGGAATCATTAAGAAAGGGATAGATAATATGGCTGAAAATATCATATTGCCTCTATATAAACCCATGGAATGCTCACATCTTGAATACTGCATGTAAATGTAGTCACCCCATCTCAACAAAGATGTATTGGAATTGTAAAAGGTTCAAAAAAGAGCAACAAAATTATTAGGGGTATGTAACAGCTTCCATATGAGAAGAGATTAATAAGACTGGGACTTTTCAGCCTGGAAAAGAGACAGCTACTGGGGATAGGGTCCAGGTCTATAAACTTATCAAACTATATAGGGAAGTGTTATTTACTCCATATTAGGGATGTAAGCAACTAGTTGACTATCTGATAAGGATAAGCTTATCGGATAGTCGAGTAGTCACTTGACTAGTCACTTCTGCCTCCTGCACTTGCTGGCTGTACAGAGAGAGGCAGCAAATGGGGGGAGCAGAAGCCGGTACTGGGGGAGCTGGCTCCCCCCAGCACAGTCTCCATGGGGGGAGAGCAGGGGTGCAGCAGGTACCAAAGCAGTCCCCGCTTGCACTGGTTCCCACTTTGGCCGCTTCAGCCTTTGAAATGCCCTGGCTGCCACGAACAGGGGCTGCTTGGCGGCAGCAGCCCCTGTCCATAGGGTGGTCCAGTTCCCTGCTGGAACCCCTGCAGACAGGGGCTGCTTCACATCAACATCCTCTATTTCCTCCCAGCTGCTTCTGATAGATGCAGCAGGGGGGAGCAGGAGGCACCCTCGAGATGGTGCTGGGGGGAACTGGCTTTTAAGCTGGCTCCATCTAGCAGTGGCTCCTGTCCCCCCCCCCCCTCCCCTC